TTACACGCCAACTAGTATGAGGACCGTAGATGTAATTTACTCATAGTTCTCGGGAAAGAACTACTCCCTCTGTGAGTTAATATAAAAGCGTTTATAAATTACTAAAATAGTGATCTAAATGCTCTTATATTAGTTTATTTATGGAGGGAATACCCACGAACAGAGGCCTAGGAAATTCTCGGGGGTCGATCGATGGAAACAGAGGTCAGTTGGTTTGGCTGGACCAACTCCAATCGCTGACGTGGCAGGGGGTGAAAGGGCCCAATGTATAACAGAATGTACACAGGACTGTGTCTGTTACATATTTGCAAATCTCGGGACCGTATTACAGACCAGCGAGTACAAGGATGAAACATGCAATTTACTCGTAGAAGTAGAAATACAGCTCCCTCGTGCTCGGCGTAAGCGGTAGCGCAACGTACACAATCCGTCATGCCTCCGTTTGGTCCTTGGGTAACTCCTTGCGCTGTATGAGTAGGTAGTAGAGATAGGCGAGGATGGGCTCGGTCCTTGGAATTCCCTAGCTGACGCTCACTGCGTAGAACTGTCGGGGTTTCGCACAGCGATCGATCGACTTGGGCCGACCCACACGAAAGGTTCCAGCCGGTTTTTCCTCGTTTTGGGAACCTTCTAGTAGGTTCCTGAACCCGTTTTTTCTTTTCTTTTTCCGATTTTCTTTCTTTCTTTTTTCCTGTTTGTTTATTCTTTTCTCTCTTTTTTCGTGTTCTTTTTTCCTTTTGTGTTTTTGGAAAAATGATCTTAAATTTCAAAAAATGTTTTGATTTATCATCAAAATGTTCTTTTTTTTCTTTCCCTTCTCTTTTTTGTTTCTTTTCGAAAAAAATAGAAATAAAAAAATCATTTTTCTAAAATGTTCGTGTTTTTGAAATTATGTTCGGAAATTCAAAAACTGTTCGTGATTACAAGATTTGTTCTTATATTCAAATATAAATCGCGATTACAAAATTTGTTCTCAAATTTCTAAAAGTGTTCGTGTTTTTAATTCATATTTTTCAAAAAAGTTCAAAAACCTGGAAATGTGTTCACTTATTTAAAAAAATGTTCTGGGTTTTAAAAATTGTTCGTTTTTTCAATTGTGTTCTTTTACGAAATTTACTCTCTTTTTTTAATAAAATTGTTTGTTTTTTTCCAAAAAAGATTCTTGTTTTTTAAAAAATGTTCAATTTTTTTTAAAAAAATCGCAATTTAAAATGTGCATATTTAAAAAAATCATTTTCTTTATGCTTTTCAAAAATGTTTTGAAATTACAAAATTTGTTCACATTTTTTAAAACTATTTTTATGAAAATGTTCGCTACAATGTCAATTCACAACTGTCCAAGCTGGTTAGCTACAGTACAGATCTCTGCAGGCTGGTCCACTGCAGTGCCAGCCTTTTTTAGAGAAGGCCGGTTGTTACAATGCGGTCCGCTACAGTGTTGATCGCTACAGGCGCTTGCTCCCACTTCACTCGCTACGTCACCAATGGGTCGGCCCAGTCGTGGCGCACCTTGTGCGAAGGGGCAACGTTTGACGCAACGAGCGTCGTATAGGTTCTCCCTCGGTCCTTGCCGGGGGATGATAACCACCATGATCTCATGGGCCGATGAGGTAACCTCCAATTTCGAGCCCCCGGTTACGCCAGTGTCATGTTCTATGTTCATGGGCACCACATGGCCGGGGTCGAAAGCCCCGGTCTCGATGACCAATTTATGTCCGATCTGTAGCTTCACAAACGGCTTCAACAAGCGCTCAAGTTCTTCATCAATGCAAGCTATGGGTGGAAGGAGTGCGTGAAGGAATAAATCAATTATATTTTCTTGCGAATAGGAATAAATCAATTAGGAAGGAAGAATAAAGTTTAGAAACTTATTATATTTTTCTAAAGGAAATTTGGCTCACTGGACTATTATACCGTCACTTGTTATTAAATTATTGACACAAAAGGAAATATACTTTGTTGAAACTCTTTCTTCTGGGTTTTATATAAAGAGGAAACAAAGACATGGTTTACTAACCGAATACATTAATGCATGCTCTTGAAACAAGCTTCACATCAATGGAATAGCAGAACACATGGCTTTCTAGAGGAAGCAAATTAAGTAGTCATCTACAAATGTAAGTGTAAACTATTTTGCCTTACTATTATACTATATGTTAATGCTTTTTTTTGTTTTTGTTTTTTGCAACAATAAAGTCATGTTGATGGAAGTGAAAGCTTGGTTATCTTATAACTTTCATATGAAAGGCATGTTTGAAACTTTCGGTTTTTTGGTTATCTTATAACTTTCATACGGAGGAAGGAGCACAAAGCGCTAAAATTCATTCAGCTCAATAGCATTGATTTATTTGTGTAATAATAATAATATGGTGCAGGTTCACTAACTAGAGTAAGAAATTACTTTCAAACATGTTTACACATGAACTTCATATATTGATCACTATGTTTCAGCCAAGTGAGAGATGTTGGAATGTCCTTGAAGATGTAATCAAATCATATTTGACATGGTAAGATCAAAGATGACATAAATCAGTTTGCCGTTATCCATTTTTTATAGTAACGCTTTAGAGGCTGTGGCTTTCACATTGAAAAGATCAGCATCGAATCTGTTGTAATGACGACATGGTATGGTAGGCCAAATCATGTTTTATCTTTTCTTAACTTTTGGAATTTAAGACATGCGTGAAGTGTTTATAACCCTTTTCCAAATCAGATAAGTGTTAGTTCATAGGTTATCCCAAATTGTTGGATATTCCTCTGTCACTATGCCAAGGCAAAGTATTTGTCACAAAGAGCGGTATTTATGTGGCTTTCATCATTTATTCAACATGTTTATTATTTATTTAGCTCAACATGAAATTATTCATATAATAATTGATGCAGAATTTCACTCAAGAAAGTAATACTCAAGGTGTCAAGGACAACTCTAATGGAATATAATAGAGGAATTAATAGGGGTCGACTCTACTGAACATGTATGTATTTTTTCCGAGACATCACAAGGTGGGAGAATTGGGTTTGCTTTGCAGCACCGGCTCTGTGCACACCCACATGATTAAGATCGAAAGTTGATCTCGCACATACAATCTAACCATGACACATACTCGCATATATGTGCTAGGGACTGGTATATATTTAGACTAAAAAAACTAACATGGTTTATCATGGTTGGTAACATTGCTCGGAGTTATACGGATCTTTCTAAAAACAGATGGAATAATAAAACACCTGAAAGTGGAGACAGGTCGCTGCTTTCTAGCCTTAATATGCATTGTGAAAGCCACCGTAGAAAAGATAGAGGAATTAGATGGTATATCGGATACGGTTTGACTAATTCACATCTACATGTTTTTTAAGGATGTCACATATAAGCTCCCACAAATATATAATGCAACAACAAGAAATAAAAAAAAGTAGGACAAAAAAATAGACCACAAACTGAGTGGACATGAGCTTAGATATGACATAACTATGTCACATCTAGATGTGTCCTAAACAGACCCTGTCGGATAACCTATAATCCAACAGGATGCGTCCTGGACAGAGCGCGGAGGCGCCCATGACACGGATCTACTAGGTGGCGGCCCTGGTGGGTGCCGGTGGCCTGGTGGATGCGCGAGGTGGCCAGTGGACATGGATGACACAGAATTAGTAGATCGGACGATAGCCGCTCGTCGGCAAGGCGCACACCGGCAAAGACGAGCAACTCATCAAGGGTGCGCCCGCGAGGTGTTCGAGAGAATGCCTAAAAGAGATGAATGAGTTGATGGAGGAGAGAGAGTGCTGACAGGTGGGCCCACCTGTCATAACAGCCAAGTATGTCATAATTACTATTAATGTTGCGCGCCGGTTTTTAGCAAAATTCTAGATCAAAAGTGGGTTTTAGACAATGTGGTAGTTTCTGAGACCAACACATGTAAAGTGGTACGGTAGTTTTTTTGTTAAATACTACACTGGAGGTTTCGTGTGTTTGAACAATTTGATCTTCACCGTACCTTTGTTTGTTGGCATATGAACCATAAGAGGTTTGCTGCCACTGCGTAATCAACATCGACTTGTCGTCTAGTAAATGAAAAGAATAAAAACGCTTCCATCTTGCACGTTAATGATACACTGCAACTCAGCACATGACTGCCAATTAAAAACGGATCCAACATGCATTTTCTCTATGCAGCACCAAGACAATCTCTTGCAGCTATTTTCCAAGTAACAATTGACAGCTAAGTGGCACAATTGTCCTCATGTTCACTGCGCATACAAATTTTTTGAAGCTAAATTATAGTACAATCATTACTATGTCTTCTTCACAGGCCAGGATATGCAGAAACGCCAGACTATTTCTGGAGTAAATTATTTATGACAAGCAAGAGCATTCTCTTCCCACAAACATACTGTCTTCTTCGCAGAACAACTACACCAGAATAGTTCTGGAGTAAATTATTTATGACAAGCAAGAGCATTCTCTTCCGAGACCTGTCAGTTTGGAAAAATCACCGGTAAGCATGACATATAAAGTATCATTTTGTGCAAAGCAAAAGGAGAGTATTTGTGTATGTGCACGCGAATTATGCACTGAATTAGATAGTGAGGGTAAAAACTGGGAGACAAATGGCATCCTACTACAAGTGGGCATGAAGAATTAGCAACAGAGAAAACTTCTGTAAACTCTTTGTAATTAAAAGTAGTAGTATTATGTTGTATATATTATGGCAAACATGACAGCACCTCCCAACTGATACTACAAAAATTGCTGGCTGTCAACAGTGTCAACAGATGAAAAATCACCACCCCTTCTGAAATTAGAATTATAGTAGTATGGATGAAAGACCCTGTGAATGCATCATATCTTCTTTTAACATACCATGGAAGAGTTGCAAAATACAAACAGATACTCAAAAACAAAGAATCAAGAAATCAAACCATATCAGCTTACACATCAATAATAAGAAACCAAACAAAGGTAAATATAGATAACTACTAGTATGTGCAACAATACATACCTATTTATGGATCTTATTAAAACTTGGAGTGATCCATACGGGAATTGGCCAATTCAACCATGGTTGAGGAGATACAACATCAGTGGCACTTAAATCCTCCAAATCTAGTATTCCAACATCCCGACGATTGTCTTTCGAATCTATCAGCCAATACTCGTCATCGTCCGTAAAATAGACATGGTTCCGCAGAAGCCCTGGGTAGTCCTGTGTGGAAAGGCAACAAGTATAGTTGTGCCCGATGAACAACGCGTAATCCCCCAACGTCCGCACACGAACTATCTGCTGCTTGTCAAGGTCAGTCATGTACACCTCAATATCAACTGTATGCATCTCTTCTTGCTCCCCCCTTGTTTTCCTCTTGACCCTCCATATTTGCAGCACACTGCCACATGATGTCTTGGATAGGTATCCATTATATGCCACGAATGGCGAAGTTTCCTTGAAAATCATATCCCGGGTGGCACAAGAACCTTGGATGGCATAGCGATACATCCCGCCGAGGAGATCCATGGCGTAGAGCGCACCATCATCGCCAAATATGCAGTCTGAGTACCGCGGCGGTTCACGAGGTGCCGAAGGCATCCAGTGCCACTTGTCATCGCCGACCCTCGCAAACGAGAGATCCCTATAGGGATTGTGAATCAGCACGACCGTGCAATCCCCCAATGCGGGATCGCAGGACAGCACGGCCTTGAGATAGAGGACTCCGCGGAGCTCGTCCACCCCATAGGGCTGCGGATCATCCCCATGGAGAGAAAGATGGTACCTTTCAAGGTTGCCTTGGCGGTCGAGGATGGGGCTTACCTGCTCGATGGTGGCGACGGAGGGGAGCGCGACCTGCTCGCCGGTGGCGGGGTTGAGGAGGTGGAGCTCGGAGCGGGCGTCGGCGGTGACGAGCCACCCGTACGAGGAGCCGATGATGTTGCGCTCCCCGATGGGAGGGTCCGGGAGGCGCGCCCTGTAGGCCTTCTTGTCGGCGAGGCTGAAGAGCTCGGCGGCGCGGGGGCCGGCGGCGGCGGTGGTGTAGAGGAGGCAGGGGGTTTGGGGGCGGCTGTAGATCCCGAGGCGGCGGAGGGCGCGGGCGGTGGCCCGCCAGGCGGTGCAGACGTCGGCGGCGCGGAATAGATCCGGGAACTCGAGGTCGCCGAGGACGGTGGTGAGGACGTCCGGCGGCAGCTTTGACCAGTCGGGGCCGGCCGCCGTCGGTTCCTCCATTGGATAGGGATCTGGCGAGACAGGGGGAGAAAGATAAGAGCTGGGATTATATACGCCGTCGATGCGGCGGAGCAAATCGGTGACGATGCCCTGCTTCTGCTTCCCCCATCCGAGTAGGAGTGAGATTCTTCCCGAGGGGAGTTGGAGTAGAATTAGGTGAAGGGTAAGCATCGGCCGACCGATCACGCGCTTCATCGGTCGCCTTGCGCCAAGCCACGCACGGCGTCCACTAGACCACTACATCCCACGACCAACTTGGAGTTCCTCCAAAAAAAGACTTCTCATAAAAGTGCTTTTTACAGGATGTTGACTATAGCTTTTAGGTAAATTTTCCTGAAAGTTTCATCTGTCAGATCCCATAAAATTTATTTTATTTTTCATTAAACAAAACTACATAATGGCCCAGGGCCCCTCAATCAGTGACACGCGTGACGGCCTCCGGCGGCGCGGCGGCGGCGACGACAACACAACATTTCAGCGGCGCGGCGGGGAGTTTCAGGCGATTACCTTGCCGTCAAAAGTTGTCGGGAAGCAAAACTTTCCCTAAGCCTGAAGGAATTTGGGGCCAAGTTTACAAGATCTTGTATTATTCCACGTATAAGGGAATAGTTGAAGACATTTTTTGGCTCAAATTTTCTCTAAACTTTTTGGTTGGAGTGGCTCTTAGGCATCGTTTGGCAAGAGGGTTTTTTATGCGGGGCATCCTACGGTCATCCCCATGGACATACCTTTGTCTTTCAAGACACCACGTGTACCAATGACTAGAGCTCGAGCAAGGGCTATCCAAGCCTAGGTGAACTTGCTCATATTCCACATGTGAGACATGGCTACTACCTCAAGTGGTGACCTTGTGTGTGATCAGCTACTTGAAGGAAGTCCATGAAGCTGTTACCACGAACGGACAAAATGGCGAGTACACCAAACACGAGAGACAAGAGAAAGAGCTGCCAGAAAGTTACAGCTATTGGATGACCGGTCCTTACCGGACGTCCAACGCCTGGAGACTTAGCCATCCAGAAGCCCAGCCGACTGACTCTAGAACGACCGGACGACCGACAAGTACCGGACGACCGACAAGTACCGGACGTCCAACACACACCAGCGACCGGACGTCTGACGGTCTCCAGATATCCTGCACCACCGGTCCAGAACAAAAACGCCAAAAGACCGGAGCCTTCTGGACGACCGACGCACTGGACATCTGATCACATCCGGAAATCCGACACCGCCTCAACAGAGCCGAAATACCGGATGTCCGATCCTTACCGGACGTCCGGTCCCTCGCGAGACACCGGACGACCAGTAATGGCCGGACGTTCGACGCCTGTCTGCGAACAGCTACTCGGGCCAAGGCCCATGTACACCTTCACCCCCTAGACTATATATACTCCTCTTCCTCCAACGTTTTAGGGTTAGCATTGTGATAGCTCAACATTGAGATAGAGCTTTGCACATCCACTTACCCCTACTCCCATGGAGATCAAGGCCTCCATGTGAGAAGATCCCCCAAGTGGATTCAAGACCCCCTTTGTGGGAAGATCCTCCAAGGATTCAAGACCTCTTTCCTTCAAGGATTGGAATGAACTAGCTACCCTTTGTATCCTCTTTTGTTGACTTTGGATCTTGTATGTCCCCTTTGTGTATGTGGATCTAGCACATGTGTGATTGGATTTGGTCTATTTGAGTGTTCTCCCTTTCGTGTTCTTCTCGGGACCTCTCTCCAAATCATGAAAGATCGGCCATTAGGATTCCACCTACGTCATCTTGGTATCACTAGCCAAGGTTGATCGCAAATTTGGAGTCCCTACCCCCTCTTTCTAGCCTAATTTTGTGTGTTTTTGTCCAATTTCAAAAATCCCCATAAAAATAGCCGTACCATTTTTTTTGTGATTTGTTGGTTTGATGATGTTTTGTTGATTTTGATCCATGGATTTGATGTGTTTCATGTGGATCTACCTTTTCCCCATCACATCCACAAAATTTGTCCAATTTTGGCCCCAATTTTTCTTTTGTCACTGAAATCCACGAGTTCATCTTCATCCCCGCAGCCCCGACATCGCCGAGGCACCGGACGACTGACGTTTACCGGACGTCCGAACCGAAATCAGCGACCGATCGTCCGACAAACCCTGACAAAACTGAATTTTTCGACAGAAATTTTCAGCCACCCTCCACTCTTTGCATTGCCAACTCCAAAACCCATCACTGCAATTCCGCAATGTCATAGAGCTTCCGCAACACCACCACACTTTCCGCTACCAACATTTGAATTTTTCCATTTGAATTTTTGAGTCGCGGTTCTCCATTTCCTAACGTGTTTCGCCTACTTAGGGACAGTTCGTCGTCGTCATCACCGCCGCTCAAATTCGCCACAGACTCGACATCGACAACGAACACTTCAGCATTTTGACACTCTAACCGTAAGCAAGGACGGTAACATTAACGACACCTTCGTGTACTCCTTTGCTTTTGCATTGTCAACCCCGAGCCATCCTTTTGCGTCACTTTCCTATAGAGACTAGCCATTTGAGTATTGTCGGGCAATGCTACTTGTGCACTTTAGTGGTACACGTCCGCATAGCTATCATAGGGTGCATATATCATCGTATCATCTCTTGTGTCATCATTTGTTCCCGCATATACATCATTGCTATTTTGGTTCGAGCATTTTGCATAAGTGGCCATAGGAAAATATCAAAAGAGAACCAAAAGCTTTTAAGCAAAGAGATAAGCAAGAGCTTGTAAGCATCGCTAAAATAGCATATCATATAGACACATTTGATCATCTTGGATCATTGTGAGAGAATCACCGGGAACTATACATGCATAGCATAAACTGGATAGAAGTCGTTATGTTTTGTCTCTTATAGGTTGTGCACAAGTTTCGTATCCGTCTATTGAGCAATCGTCCTAGTGTCTCTCTAGAGTTGTGCAACAAAAACATTTTTCGTGGTATCCACATTTTGAGATCATTTCTTGGTTGCACGACCCCATTTATCAATCCGTGTGTGTGTGTTTGCTTGTGCCACTCATTGTTGTTGGCCTACTTGTTTCACTTGCAAATTTGTGAATCTCTTTCAACATTATTGAATCTTGCTAACAATTGCGTAATTATTGTGCGACCATCCTCACCAAGCTACTCCAAAAGCTTTATTTGTGTAGGTGTGAGAATAGACAAGATCTTATACCAATTGTGCTATTTCCACAATACCGAATTGGATGATGGATAGGCCGAGTACTTCTACCAACCCACTCTTCATCGATCAAGATGAGGAGCCGAACAACTACGTCACCAAGAATCAACTATTCGGCGCACAAAGAGCTTTGCATCAAGAAAATGAATCAGTTGAGCTTCTTCATGGAAGTTTGCTGAGCATGTCGGCGATGAAGTCTAGACACTCGAATCAAAAGATCTGTCACTTACCTGTGCAAAAGAAATCGGAAATGTTATCTTGACGAACGTCAGTTGGGAGGGGGATGGCAGGCGAACGGTTTTTTCCTGATAGTTTTAGTTGCTTCGCGAGAACAAAATCAAACGGTTGCAGTTTTAGACCAATAATGCCCTTCTCTTCAGAAACTGCCATGTGTTTATGAAGAACTGCCAACCCATACAACTAAACTTTTCATCTAAAACGTTTGTAAATGTCATCCCTCCTAGGGAACGTTCGCCATCTAAGAGGATCCAACGAAATTATATTTGAGATGCTAAAAAATATAAGTCTTATGTGCGTCATATTATGGATATAAAAATTATTTAGATCACTTTAAAATTTATCATGTTTCTAAGGTTTTAGGTTAGGGAATTATTTTAGAGTTCATATGAAAGAACATGCGGTGTCCCCATGTTTGGTTTTGGTAATTGATGACAATCTCTATGGACTAATGGTTGCCTTGAGTTATATTTGAAGGTTTTGTCCATAGGCTTTTCTTGGAGTACATGTGTTGGTTTCAAGGAGAGTTTGTGTTGACCAAGGTGCTATTAAGGAATTATCCAAAGATTGGTCATGTGAGAGTTGAGCTTATTGCAAGCATGTCTTGAAGAAGAAGATTGTGTGATCATTCATGTTTACCTTCAAGACATCATCTAAATGAAGCGAGTTGGAAAGATTCAAGGTTGATCAAGACTAAGTCAAGAGTGAATCAAGTTGATCAACTCACAAAGCGTAGAAGATGTACCGATAGGAATGAAGTGATCCCATGGCATGGTAAGCATTGTCCATTGTGCTTTTTGTACTACTCCATGGTCTATGTAAGAGTTCTATGTGGGATTAGGTACGTGTTCATGGGCTTGCGTCAAGAGGAAGATATCACTCAACCCATGGAGAGGATGACATCAAGTGGTGATCGTCATCAAGATTGCTGTGTGCAAGTTCAAGTGGAGCATCACGAAGAGATCAAGTGCTTGAAGCTTGCCATCCATTGTGGTGTCAATAGACTTGTGAAGATGTGCTGAAGAGTGGCTCACCCATAGTGGAGTATGGGGGAGCAATCATCTAGTCTCCATCGACCCAACGCAATCAAGAAAGGTGGTTCATCTTGAGGAGGACAAGATCGTCATCATCTAGCTCAAGTGGATCATGTGCAAGGCAAAGATTTGCCCTTCATAGGTTTTCTATTTTACCGGTCTCATGGTGGTAGTTGGGAGACCGGGTTATAGGATTGATAGCCGTACTATCAAGGGGGGGCTCTCAAGTGAGTAGCTTGATCGTATCGTTCATCGAGAGCTCAAACCATTGCATCCTTGCATCATGTTTCTTGGTTGTTGTTTGGTTATCTTTGTGAGTCTTAGAGATTATGGCCATCTAGATGACAAGCTTGAGTTCATCGAAAACGGAGTTTGCATGTGTCTTCTATGATGTTTTCGGTGTTGGAGGTTTTACCGGTCTTATCCGAGGAAGGGTTCTCACCATTTTATTTTGGGCCTTTTCTCATTTTCTTCTTATTGATTTTTCTATCAAGATTGTGTTAGCCCTTGTCGCTAGCTTTCCAACAAACTTGGTTTCGTTGAATTCGGAGTCCGTTTGCAGAAGTTGTGTCAGTTTTGGTGTTCTGAAAAGGCTGCCGCGGTACTACCGCGGACAGGAGCAGAAGTAATTTTTTTTTACTATCGCTCCTGGGAGCGGTACTACCGCTTGGAGCAGTACTACCGCGGCTACTTCCGTGGCTACTCCCGATCGGGACCAAAACTTGTGTTT